TTCTTTATTGATTTTCTGCCTAGATGGTCTTTTCATTGCTGTAAGTGGAGTATTAAAGTCCCCTGCAATTACCATATTCTTATCAATATCATTGCTTATGTTTGTGATTAATTGATTTATAAATTTGGGTGCTCAAGTTGGGGCATAAACATTTAAAATTGTTAGCTCTTCTTGATGGCTAAATGCAATCATTATTATATAGTGCCCTTCTTCATCTCTTGTTACAGCCTTTAGTTTAAAATCTAGTTTGTCTGAAAAAAAAGTATGGCTACTCCAGCTTTCTTTTGACTTCTAGTAGCATGATAGATGGTTCTCTATCCCCCCACTTTCAATCTGAAGGTGTCCTCTGGTCTAAAATGAGTCTCTTCTAGACAGCATATAGATGGATCTTGTGTGTGTGTGTGTGTGTGTGTGTGTTTCTTTTATCCATTCTGATGCCCCATGTCTTTTGATTGGGGCATTTAGTCCATTTACATTCAGAATTATTAATGAAAGATATGGATTTAGTGTCATTGTGTTATCTGTAGGTTTCATGCTTGTGGTAATGTCTCTGGTCTTTTGTAGTCTTTTTAGCATTCCACTCAGAGAGTCCCCCTTAGGGTCTCTTGCAGGGATGGTTTAGTGGTCATGAACTCCTTCAGTTTTTGTTTGTCTAGGAAAACCTTTATCTCTCCTTCTATTCTGAAGTATAGCCTTGCTGTATAAAGGATTCTTAGCTGTATATTTTTCCTATTCAGCACATTGAATATTTCCTGCCATTCCCTTCTGGCCTGCCAAGTTTCAGTGGACAGGTCTACTACTACCCTTATGTGTCTACCCTTGTAGGCCAAGGTCGATTTGTCCCTAGCGGCTTTCAGTATTCTCTCTTTATCTTTGTATTTCGCAAGTTTCACTAATATGCCATGGAGAAGACCTATTCCTGTTCAATCTGAAGGGAGTTGTCTGTGCCTTCTGGATTAGGACGTCTGCTTCCTTCCCCAGATTAAGGAAATTCTCAGCTATAATTTGTTCAAGTAAACCTTCTGCCCTTTTCTCTCTCTTCTTCTTCTAGAACCCCTATGATATGGATATTATACATTTCATTGAATCACCTATTAATTCTCCCCTCATGGTTTAGTGTTTTCTTATCTCTTTTTCTCAGCTTCATCATTTCCCATAATTTTATCTTCTATTGAATTTATTCTCCCCTCAGCTTCTTCCCTCCTTGCTGTCACCACATCTAATTTATTTTGCATCTCATTTACAACATTTATTTTAAAAAAATTTTTTAATGTATATTTACTTTTGAGAGAGAGAGAGAGGTGTGAGTGGGGAGGGGCAGAGAGAGGGACACACAGAATCTGAAGCCGACTCCAGGCTCTGAGCTGCCAGCACAGAGCCCAATGCAAGGTTTGAACTCACAGACCGCGAGATCATGACCTGAGCCAAAGTCAGACACGTAACCGACTAAGTCACCCAGGTGCCCCTCAGCATTTGTTAACTCATCACAACTATTTCTTAGTTCATTGATCTCTGCAACAATAGATTTTCTGCTGTCTTCTTTCCTTTTTCAAGCCCAGCTATTAATCTTATGACCATTATTCTAAATTCTTGATCAGGTATATTATTTATATCTGTTTTGGGCAATTCTCTAGATGTCATTTCTTCCTGGAATTTCTTTTGAGGAGAAGTCTTCCTTTTCATCATTTTAGTTAGTTTTATGTCTTTTAATAGCTTGTTATATGTCCTGCATCTGGAGTACTACTATATTAAAAAGGGCTCATACACTGTCCAGGGCCTGGCCCTTCGAGAGGTATTTTTGGAGTGTATTGCATGCTCCCTGTCTTTGTGACTCTGGTCGCTTTTATCTCCCTACTCATAGTGGTGGTTTGGACCTTCCACCAAGGTATGCTTTGTTTGCTGATGTAATGCTGGAAAAAAATTTAAAAGGGGGTAGTGGTAGAAGAAGCCTCATCCCATACAAAGAGAGAAATGACAGGTGCAGGGGAAAAAGAAAAGAAGAAAAAAAATTGAGAGGGATACAAAAGAGGAATAAAAAGAATGATTAAAAATGTCTGCTTAAGCAAACCAACAATCAGACTAGAGAAGCGAAGGAAGAGGAAAAAAGGAAGAAATATATATATATGTTATATACAACATATATGTTATATATATAATGTATATAATAAGAATTGAACAAGAATCAAATCAAATCAGAAAATGCAAAACCACTGGACAGAGATCAGATGGTACCTTGGAACTGGTGACTATGCTGATCTGGCAGAGGGGCCACCTGGTTAGGTCAGTGTCAATCTTGCTCTGTTAGATACACATTTACCAGGCATGGAGGAGTGTGGTTTGGTGTAGGTGGGTCCCGCCTCCACTGTGAGCCCTTTTCCGTTCCCTGAAGCCCCACCTTGTTGGTGATGGGGGGAAAATGGTGACACCCCAGTGTCTCCTCCCGGGGTTGGGTGGCCTATCCCACTCTGTTCAGGCTGTCCTCACAGTGCTGCAGGAGTGCAAGCACACCAGTTTGTCCCACTCCATAGTCTCCCATGCCTCCCAGGTGGTCAGTGGGATTCAAACCCTAATGGCTTAAAGGACCCCACTCTGCACCCTAGTTCCGAGGTAATGCCTCTCCTCCCAGTCCACTGACCAAGGGCCTCTGGCTGGTGGGTGCATGCAGGATCTTTTGTCTTTGGAATGATTATATGCCTTCTTCCCACAGCACTCAAGGGAGAGGACTTCTCTCCCTGACTGCGCCTCTGAGCTCACTAAGGACCTAGGACCGGCTCCCCCTGCTCCCCAGGCACACATACAGGGTGGCAGGCCCAGTCTGGAGAAAGCCCGCCAGTCCTGGATTGAGTTAGAAACTGGTTCTTTCTCTGGTTTTTCTGTTCTCCAGTTCATGGGTTTTCTCTTATCCAAATACAATCCTATACTTCTCCAGCCTCTCTTTCTCTTCCTTTTGTCTCTCCTTAGAAGAGGATCCCACCCCTCCATGGCTATACTGCCCGTTTCATCTCTCCCAGTTCACAATCATGCACCAATGGACCACCAAAGTTGTCCCCGTGGGCCCCTGGAGATGTTTCTGTCACTCAGTAGTCCAGATTCCTGGAATTCCAAGTCTTCTGGCCTCAATACCTACTGTGTTTGAGGGAGGAGGGAACTTCGGGTCCCCCTACTTCTCCACCATGTTCAAAAACAGTAATTCTAAAATACTAAGTGTTAATGCCCAATTTTATGTATAAGCATTATGTGACCTGAATCTTTGAGAAGGTTGTTTGAATTATATGGTAGGAATCCTGCCAGTAGAATTTTGGATAACTTTTTTAAAATCCTCCTCCACTAGCTTGGAGAGAAAAAACAATATTGTAGTATAATATAAGCAGCAAAAATAGTTTAAAATTAAGCTTAAAATCATGGCCCACACAAAATTATTGGGGAGGGGGGGGAGTCTTAGATAAAGAAACAATTTGTATGGGGAAACAAAAACTATAGAAACTAATGAGGGTTTTTTTGTTTTGTTTTATAATATTTTACTAATATGTTTTTTGAAATATGTTGGAGGTAATTATATACTTTTATTATTGAAGATTTTAAAAATACCTGTACTTCTGCTCTTTTCAATATATGATTACAGTTCTATCTCAAGTGTGATTAAAAACAGTTGAAAACCAGTAATCGCTGATGTTAGTAATAATCCCTTTTACTCCTAAGTAATGTTTTCCTCTCATTATTTCCTTACACTGCCTTGTTAATTATCACTTTTTACTGTTTAAAAGTTTTTCCTTAGGGAAAATAAAACAAAGAGAGAAAGAATTTAGCTTGAAAGTATAATTCCTTATTTTTCTTCTTCCAAACGTTGACCTAATTTTATGACACCCATTTTGCAAATTGTAACAAAATCTAGTTCCTTAATCCCCTGAAATACCAGATGGAAGTGTACAAACATGGCTCAGTCCATGGCATTATGTTCTTCATATATCTATATACTCAACTTATTTGATTGCTTTAAGTTAAATGTATTAAAAATGGGAGCATGAAAAGGAATGTAATTGCCATCCTTAGAAAACATCTAAGTCAGTGTCTTTTATTTGGTGTCTATTCCTTTCTCCTTTGAATTCAGAGATGTGTTCTCTCTGAGGTTCTTCTTGTTTTCTCATGCTAGACATGAAAAAAAATATATGACAAACATGCCCTGTTCTGCAATAGGACAGAATAGCCTAATTGGTCTAGAGTTTTTCTGGGTCCTGGTGTTAGCAAAACTTTTAAGAGTAAGATGGACACCAAGCTTGTGCAATAATCTAAGCTTAAGTGACCTGCCTTCCATTTGACTACCCAGCAAATATATAGCCCAAAGGGAAGATTTGATTTGGTCCAGGTTGCCTTACTCAATTCCAGGATGTCCTTCCCAGAAAAGTTTATGCTAGGTCAATTCACTGGTGCTATACTTCTGTTGTGATATACCTTACTGTTTAGGTTTGCCTTTGTGACAATTGTGAGTTTGTTGCTAGAAAGCTAAACTATTTTATTCCCTACATGTTTCAAATATCATGATATAATATACCAAAAGGAACTATTTGGAGTATGTATATGTTAGGATTCTTCAGGTGAAAATAACAAAACATCCATCATGTTGGTCTGAACTCAGTGAAACACATATCAGAGTTCAGGCCTACAGAACTGTAACAGAGTAATTTCATATTGGATAAGTCATTAAAGTTATGGTAATTTGCTACAGTAGCCACATAATACTAATATACTGAATGAGGACACATGGGTTGGACAAATTTAGACCCACTGCTGAACATATCACATTAGCAAGGGAACGGCTATGAGATGGTCAGCTGAGGTACAAGTTAAGTAACCAAACAAATTATTCTGGAGAGAAAGATGGGGTAAGAATCAATGAGCCTCCCTTTGGAGCTGGGAGAAGCAATCCACATGATTCGTGGCTGTTTAACAATAAAGAACAAATGTGGATGAGAAGTCTAGAATATGTTCTTTAGTACACTTACCTCAGAAGGGATGTGAAACTGGCAGGTACTTTAAAAACTCAATGGTCTGTTCAGCTCAAAGGTAATTCAGAAAAGTGGTTCTTTCTTTTCTTTCTCAGAGGGGTATGGATTAATTTTTCTTCCATGTCTTACAACTTCTCTTGATCAATGTATTTTTAATGTCTGAGGAGGCTGTAATTTGTCACAGGATCTGTCTGAAATGAGGTGAATGATGTTTCATGCTTGGAGACTGCTTGCTCGGTGCCTAATGGAGGAAAGAATGAGTCAGTGGAAGAAAAATAAGGCTGAGACACAACTATGACCAAGTGTTTACGGGAGTACAATGTTTTTTTAATACTTAGAACAATATAAGATCATAAACTCATGAAAAATATTATACCAACCTATTTAAATTTATTATATAATTCTTAGTCCACTGAGGTATTTCAATAGTTCCTTAAATGTGTATTAACAAAGACCTATTTTCTAACTTTTAATGCTTATTTCCATTTCTGGCATACACTAAATGCTCTATAAATATTTGTTGTCATTAATGCTATTTTATCTATATGAGTATCTGCAGTATATAAGATGACTCATTTCTTCCTGAGTCATCAGGACGAACTTCTGAGATGTGAGGAAGACTATTTCCCTCCGAAGGTAAATTTAATGTCAACCCCAAATAGGAAGCAATAGATCATTTTGTAGACATGTGGGAACAGGAAACTTGGCTTCAAACAGCAATCAATTTAACCAGTGAAGTTAACACAGAGGTATATAGAAGTAAACTCTTGCAACTTATCTACCACTGTCCATAGGATAGAGAATCAGAACCTGAAGGCCTTGGGTATTTCAGTTCTGAAAGGACATCTGCCCAGGCACCTTCATGGACTAGAGGAGCTAGGCTTCAGGACCTGTTATTTTCTTTCACTACGGTTACCAATGCAAATCCTCAGATTCTTTGACCTTAGGACACAATACCATAGAGGCTTTGAGAATATGCTTACATGGTCCCAAAAATACAAATTAGTTTACATTCTTGTCATATCTGAGCCAGTGGCCTTCTCTACCCAGTCACATTGTCTTGGGTAATACTGAAAGAGTTCAAGGCTGAAAAACAGATTTTGGACTTCAGCAAATTCAACTCTATAGGGTTTCTTGGCTGATGGCACACCTCTATGAGCCTTTGGCCTTTCTAGTCAAAAAACTCTACAACTTGTTCAATAAACCTTGGAGATGCAACCTAATTGTTTCTATGGAAAAGTGTGTATAATATAAGTAACTAATTTTTAAAAATATAAACGCTTTTGGAATATTTTAAAGGCAGGAGTTGTCTATACATACTCTATAGTTTTAGGGCTGTGTGTTAGAATATGTGACTTTTCATATTCTAATTTTTATAAAACATGGTAAACTATGAATGTGGCTATGTCTCTGTATTTTTTCAAAATAGTTCAGTAATCATAATATCTTACCATGGTTCTCAGTTGGGTACCACTCCACAGTTTCTCAGAGTCATTTGAAAATGTGGGAGGTAGGGATACAAAGGGAGGAGTTTTCTCTTGTCACCTCTGTTAGGGGAGGGTGGTATCTAGGACCTCACGGGTCAGATATAGTCAACTTGCTGCAGCATTGGGAGAGTAACACATAAGAAAGAACAACAAAAAACTGCCTTGCCCCAACAGCAATTATATTTCTGTTGAGAGACATTTCTCCTGTTTTTTGTTTGTTTTTTTTTATGATGTAAGGATTTACTGTGACTTTCTAAGGTTATGATTTAAAACAGAAAGACATTGGCGGTCTGAGTGAATTTCCCAATATTAGATCAGAAAATAGTATTATCAGCTTGACTTTTTACTGCCATATTATTGTACACAACATTGGGGTTGGGGAGGTAAATGGGTGTGGGTATAGCTGGCTTTCTATGAGTTTCTTTACTTTTCAAAAAGCTCTAACAATAAAAAATATTTCTTCTCCTTTTTCAATGGCTGAAGGCTGATGACGTAGTCCTTGGGTCTATAGGAAATGAAAATCTTCTACACTTTCTAGTTAATTTGATCAATTGAAACAGCCAAGTCAGATACCTCACCTTGGTGACAGGGAATTGCAGAACTGGAAACAAAGTCCCAGTGCTTACTCAGCTTGGCATGGATCAGTCACTTTGAGACTTAACACATAATTATTCACATAACACTTCTTTCCATTAGAAGAAACCATCCAAAGGTGACAGTATAGGGGAACCTCTGATCACCCAGGCATTTTCTCAACCAGATCACAAAGACCAGCATTATATGCACACTTTGCTGATGTAGAAATAGGTTGAGATACAAATAGGGACTGATCAAATATCAGAGCAGGGCTGACCATTTACACAAAGGCATTCATTCCAGAGACAGATGCAGCTGGTCTCACAGGCCTGCCAGAGACAAAGGCTCTTCAGCTAAAATCCTTTATGAGTGAGGTTTAAACAATCATACAATCAGTTGGCATTACAGCATCCAATCTTTTTTAACTCGGTGACCAAAGATCAGTCCCAACCAGTGAACTTTCTAATTGTTGTAAATGTCATGTTAATGCCTGGCTTGTCCTGCCCCAACATTTTCAGGAGATAAAAGTTAATTCAGAAACAAAGTTCTCTGGAAGTCAGAGAAGCCTTTTAAAGAAACATTGAGAATTTGTAATCTCTTGCCAAAATGAAGAAAAAGTTACATTTCTGTCCAACAATCTCAAAATCAGCAAGACAAAGAAAAATAATCCAACCCCCAAAGCCAACAAAAGGCCCATTTACTATCTGACACCCTGGGTGGACTTTGAAGCCACACTTCTCCAACAATCACTGCATTATGTCCATAGAATAATGCCAACCTATTAATGTGGGGTTTGTTCAATCAATTTGGAATTCAAATCAGAGTAAATCAGGATAGAAGGCTGCCCTAACACCAAGCCACTAAAGCTAATCAAATGTAGAGACACAAAAAACAAACAAATAAAAAAAGTCTTCATTCCAGGAGCAAGGAAGGCAAGATTAAAACTTAACAGAACTAAAGATCTGTCCACATTAACCTAACCATAGGATACAAAAGCATATATTCAAAATAAAAGAAAACATGACCTTCATGACTTTCAGGACTCAAATGTGACTCATGTTGTCCCTCCTGTCCTCACACTAAGTCACAAAAGAGCATATTCATCTTTACAAACTGTTCTTAAAATGTTTAGACTTTAAACTTGAAATGTCAATGTGATACAAACAAGCTGTAGAGAGACTTTAAATATGTCTATATGTTTAAAACTTGTTTTTAAACAAAAACACAGATCCATTTTTAGAATGACTAAAGCACATCTCAACACAATTTCCTATTACCAAAATGTTTCATGACTTAGGTCACTGTAGTTAGGTCATCTTTGAAGTGCTGGTAATTAGAGCCCACTTAATTGGTAAACAGAATTAGAACAATAAGATATTCAGGAATAAAAGTCATTAGTGGAGGAAGAAGATAGAAGAAAATTTTGATTATATCATTTTTATAAACTTTGAAATCACAAATTCTTCTAGATATTTCAAATGTTCTCTCTCTCTCAGAGACACTGTTCCCATAAACTTCCAAATTCTGTCTAAAGTAAACTTTCGAATTTTATCAAGTTCAAAATATTTAATTAGGGAAAAGAAATCCTAGTCGACTTAAATTTCTAAATACATTATGAACACAAATACAAATAAGAAGAATAAAATTACAAAAGACTATTCTTCTTAAAACTCAGGAAAATAAATGGTTAAATAGAAAATTTTAAATATGTATGGTTATTCTTAAATTCAGCATATAAAAAGTATGAAACAAACAAATCACATGCCTGTTCATATAGCAAGACATTCAGTGTGGAAAGTTTCTATGGATGTCACAGAAGGTATTAAAATATGAGTTATTTATGTCTCTTAAACATTTAAGAAAAAATATTTAATTCAGTTTGCAGAATTGATAATAATTGGACCAGTAGGGAGGTGAAATGTCATTTAATAGCTATATGATTGATTATAAAGTATTATTAGCTCAGGAGAACACTCACTTTGAGATTGATTAAGGAAAAACTGTTTTTTTAAATCGGTCTTTAAGTACTCAGCCCCTGAGCCAAAAGACTTCTAATCCTCTACAAATGTACAGAATGCAATGGAGAACTGATTTAGCACCAAAGTTCTAGGAATCAAAGATATCATAACTACGATAGTAAATAATAATTATCTTCTACTTATACCAATACAATCTCTTCAATCAATGAATTATTACCCTATTTCAGATTGCAATATTTGGGGTGCAAATGGGGAAACGTACTTCAGCAAAATGTAATGAAAAATCAAGACTGAAAATTGTGAGGCTGTTACATTCAAATATACAGGAAGTCAGTTTTCTGATCACAGTGATCTCCTATGAACCACAGAAGGGCAGTCTAAGGTTGATAAAGTGAAGTTATTTTACCTACATGTAACAGGAACCCACTGTAGATGAACAGTTTGCTTCATACAAATCCTGGTCTCAGGCTACTTTCGATTGCCTTGGCTTTCTGCATGCCAGCCTTCTTTGGCCTGTCTCAGTTCTTGAACTGGCTCTGTTCTGTCTCCACAAGAAACCTTAACGCTGTAGAGCAGTTCCCCTTTATTCATGGGAGATACGTTCCAAGGCTCCCAGTGGATGCTTGAAATCATAGTGTATATACACATATATAATTTTATATAAAAGGTATTTTATATATAATATATATTATCACACATATGTACATATATTTTATATATCAATATCGTAGTTTATATATACATATGTCTATGCTGTGATTTCAAGCATCCACTGGGAACCTTGGAATATATATATATATATACACACACACACATATATGTACACACCTATCATAAACACACCTATACACCTATAATACACACCTATAATAAAGTTTAATTTGTAAATTAGGCACCTCAAGAGATTAACAGCAATAATAACACAGAACAGTTATAAACCATATACTGTAATAAAAGTTATGTGAAGTTGGCCTCACAGCGTATATTCGCAAAATACCTCGCTGTGCTGTCCTCACCCTTCTTCCGCGGATGACGTGAGATGGTAAAACGCCTACGTGCTGAGAAGCGGCGTGGAGAATGACGTGAGCACGCCCGACTTGGCGTTAGGCTACTATTGACCTTCTGCTGATTCGTCAGGAGGATCATCTGCTTCTGGAGCGCAGTTGGCGGGAGGAACCAAAACTCGAAACTCTCGAAATGCAGGCAGAAAGTGAAACTGCTTTGCTCCCTCGACCCAGGCCCATCCCCCTTCAGTCCTTTCCTAGCCCTGCGTCAAGGAAGCCTTTTCCAGCACGACCCCTAGGTCTGTTTCCCCTATTACATACTCTCAGAGCACTTTTCTTTCGGAACTTTCTGTCTCAGCATTACTCATGCTTTCAGTAAATATTTAATTGAGGAAATACTGTTTAATACCTGTAGGTGCTGCCCGTGGTGTAAACTCCAAAAGGGTCCGAATTGTATCTAATTCATATATTGTTCGGTCTCTAGGATTTAGCACAGTGTCTGGAAGCTAGGTGTTTAACTGAATGAATGGAGTGAATGAGGGAAGGAAAGAAATGGGCGAAATATTAAAGTGGCTTTTTATGGGGCACCTGGTGGCTCAGTGGGTTAAGCGTCTGACTTTGGCTCAGGTTATGATTTCACAGTTGGTGAGTTCATCTCCCTCTCTCTCTCTCTCTCTCTCTCTCTCTCTCTCTCCCTCCCCTCTCTCTTCTCTCTCTCTTCTCTCCTCTCTCCTCTCTCTCTCTCTCTCTCTGCCTCTCCCCTACTCAGTTAACTTCTTAGAGAATTCGTTCTGTATATATAAAGAAAGAGCTGGGAAATACTGGATGATTTTGAGTAAGGTAATTTTGAGATCATTTTGGGTAAGGTAACTCCAGTCTATTATGTAAGCTCTATTTTGGGTAATTTCAAATGAAAAAAATGGACAGTATAAGTAGCAAAGCAAAACTGGATTTAAGTATTCTTCAACTGCATTCACTAAAAGACCAGGCCAAAGGAAATATAGCAAATATTTTTCTCCTCTCAGAAGGAGAGAGAGAGTACACATAAAAGATGACTGGGACATTGTAGAAACTTTAACATGTTTTTTTTCTTCCTTTTTATGAAAAAGGTTAACCATAATTAGATATGCTGGGAACATGCTTCATAGAAAAAGAACATAGAAAGCCAAACCAACAGAAAGTAATTGAAGAGCACTTTAAAACACAAGATGAATTCAAATCATCAAGAAGAGACTTTAACCTGTTATCTTGGAGGATTCTTGAAGACTAGAAAAGGCCCATCTATTTTTTTTTTTAATTTATTTTTATTTTGATAGGGAGAGAGGGTGTGTGTGTGCCTGCCAGCAGGGGAGGGGGTTGGGGGCTTGGGGGAGAGAATCCCAAGCAGGCTCCACACTGTCAGCACAGAGCCCAGTGCAGGGCTCAGAACTCAAACCGTGAGATCATGACCGGAGCTGAAATCAAGAAGAGATGCACTGACTGACCCACCCAGGCATCCCAAAAGCCCATCTAATTTTAAACTTAGGGGCAAGGTTTGGAGAAGAATATTTACTGAATAGAAGTATCTTAAATGTTTCTCAGGGGAACCAAGCTCCCTGGCAAACATTTTCCAATTCAGGATCAGGCGTGATGATAGGGGAAAATTTGCTACATCTGCTGCTAATTGAGACATACTATTTGAGTACGGGATAAAGGGAGGGCAGGGCCTCTCCTGTGAACACAGGACATTTGGAATGCCAAAGACCTAAGTTTAAATAACTGCTTGTTCGCTGATATAAGTTTTAAGAATATGGACTAGTCTGCAGGAATTTAAGTTTGTGTTTTGAATATCTGATGATAAAGGCATCTTCTGTAGGGTCAGACCAGTTCTTAACCCACATAGTCCTAAAATGGAACATTCTGGTTGACACAAATAATGTTAAGCATTCTTAAGTAACTATGAAAGTGAGGAAATACAAAGCTGGGGTTTTTTTTTTTGAAGTTCATACTGCTGCTAGTACATAATAATAATATTGATAAGATACAGTAATGGTGGCTAATACTCAATGAATGTTATTCTACAAAAGACTGTTCCATGTATGTATTAATTCATCAACTCAATATTGTAGATCCCTGAAAATATCAAACATGAGAGAATATTCGTATAATTATAAATTAGTCACATGTTCTTGGAAATTCTAAGGAATTGTAAAAGGCTAGAATGAACAGAAGAGGAATCATCACAGTTATTTGAAACATCTCGGGCCACGTTTCTCCAAGAGATATCCCCAACAGAACCAGTCAGGTGCTTAGCCCACCATAGACTTAATCAGATTCAGATCCAGTGGCTCAGAATGAACTTGGAAAAGAGATAGTGTCTCATGTGACAAATAATGGAGCCAAGACTGTTCACAGGATCAGGAAACTTTTTGAGTGTGATATATTCAGAGTCTGAAACAGAAATTCCTATATGAAAAGTCTGTAAGGCTTAAGTGAAGGATTCAAATGTAATAATTGCCATACACATCATGAAAATAAAGTAGTATTTTAAAATCTCTCCACAATTTAAAGCCCAAATCAAGATAATTTTGCTCATGAGTTCTGCTGAATATTTAAGAAGAAATAATAGCAACTCCTCAGAAATTCTTTCAGAAAATTAAGAGTGGAGCATTTCCCACCTCATTCTTTAGAGTTAGTATTACTCAGGTAATAAAACCAGAGAAGGATATCACAAGGAAAAACATACAAACTATAGACCAATATTTCTCAAAACACGAAAGAAGGAACAAATATGTCACTGGCACTTACATCCTTCTTTGGGTTTGCTTTCAGGAACCCCACCTAAAATAAAAGTAAAGCTTCAAATTTGAAAAGAACCAAGAGAGAAGAGGAGAGGGATAGGGAAGGGAAGTTTTATAAAGGAAACTCCTAAAAAGGACATTATTGGACATAATTTGGAAATTTGAAAATGCACTGGATATTAGGAAATATGACAGTTTCAGTGTCTAATTTCTTGGCTCTGATAACGATGTGAGTTCAGCAGGCGAATGTTCCTGTTCTTAAGAGATACGTGATGAAGTGTTACAAGTGAAGCATCACTAATATCTGTAACTTATTTTCAAACAGTAAGGGGAAAAAAGAGAGCAGGTGTGGAAACTGCTAATAATTTGTGATTCTGGGTGAGGAATGAACGTGTTCATTATTCTTTTGATTTTTCTGTTGATTAATTTTTTTAATAAAATTGATTAGAGAAGTACAAAAACCACAGATACCACTACATACCTATCAGAATGGCTAAAATTTTTAAAAACTAAAAACTGGCAAGACCGATTACCACTGACAATATGGAGAAAGTTGGGCAGGCTCTCATACATTGCTGGTGAGAGGGCAGCATGGTATAGCAACTTTGCCAAACAGTTGTTCTTTTTTCATAGTTAAGAAATAGACTTACTGTATGACCCCAAATTTCCTCTCCTAGCTGTTTATCAGAGACATGAAAACTTCTGTCCACATAAAAAGCTATCCATCAATGTTTATAGTGACTTTATTCATAATAAACTGGAAACTGGAGACAGTGCAAATGTCCCTTAACTGGGAAAGGCATACACTGTGATACATCGATACAATAAAATATTACTTCACAATAAAAAGAAAGAAACTACTGATACACACAGCAACATGGATGAATATCCAATATATTATGCGAAGTGGAAAAAGCTAGACTCAAAAGCTATATATTGTATAATTCCATTTAAATGACAGTCTGCAAAAGGTAAATTATGAGAACAGAAAACAAATCAGCAGGTGGGCTGTGGGTGAAATCGGGAGTTGGCTACAAAGACACATGCCTCCATGTGTCTTTGGAGACTTTCTAGAAGGATAGAACTGTTCTATAGAACTTTCTAGAATGATAGAACTGTTTTATACTTTTGGTGGTGGTTACATGATGATATGTGCTCAGGACCAAATGCTAAAGGGGGTGAATTTAACTTATACCTTAATGAAAAATTATCTTAATTTTAAAACTAAATAAATAAATGTTATTTAAAGAGTCATGTCAGTCCTCTCTCTAAAACCATCCAATGGAGTCTTAGCCAGAATAAATAGCAAAGTCACTGTAATAGCTTATAAGGTCCTATATCATCTGGCATCCCTTTAGCTCTGTCATCTCATCTGGTACTTTTCTTCCCCTCCTTCAATCTATTCCAGCCACACTGGCCACTTAACATTCCCAAAACCTATCAAGCATGTTTCCACCTCAGAGCCTTTGCGCCTCACCTATTCCCTCTGCTCTTCCCCCAGATAGTGATATAACTTGTTTACTCTAATATCACCTTTACAGTAAAGTCTCCTTCATAATCCCACCTCACACTGGTACTCCTTTCCTCCATGTTACTTTTCATTATCAAACATACTATATATATACACATATATATATACATATATATGTATATATATATAATACTTTAAAATTTATTTTGTATAATTTATATCTATCTCAACAAGAGAGGAGAGGGCTTCTTCTGAATTTGTTAACAGCTATGGCACATGCATACACATCAGTGTTTAACATATAGTAGTACTATTGGTTGAATAAATGAGTTGAGATGTAATGAAAGAGTCATTGCTTCACCCACCCATGCTCTGCACTCAATTTCACTTGCATACTTTTTATAACACACTAAAATCAGTCTTACCATAATTATTAAGGAAGTGGATCTTTATTCTAATTCCACTTCTATGAGAAAAAAGTAAATAATGAAAAAGAATTATTAAGGATACATTTATGAAAACAAGTATCAACATTTCCATAGAATAAAGACAAATTCATCTGGATTCAGATGTAAATCACTTAGCTCTAAAATATGGAACCAGTGGTCATTTGTTCTTCCTCCTTTGTGAAGCCTTCATCCCTATCTCTTTCCCCCCAGCCTCTGAGCTCTCAGAGTCAGTTCACTTCAGCTTCCCACCATCCACTCTGTGGTTCATGCATGCTGCACTTGTCACACTAAATTTTATTTGCAATAGCCCCTTTCAGCAAATAAACTACTTGAT